GTCTGGAACGCAGGGGTGAGAATATATACCTGCTATGTGTCTATTTTGCATGCATTTAATAAGAGCTCAGAGAACCAAAGGGTTTCATGGTACCTGTAAGTGACTTATTAGTGTAATTTCTGTCCTGTCCTTTGTAGTGGCTGTGTTATCTGTAACACAGTAGTAGCATTTAACAACTAAGTTTACCCTGTAACAATAAAATAGCAACTGTTTAAGCTTTAACCTGACTCCTTCAGTTGCTGTAACAGAACCAAGCACAATTTAAAAGAACTTCAGCCGGTCATAAGGGACTCACTGCCCTGACCGTCGGCTGACAGGACCACACATGTGAAGCAAAAAAACCCCCATAAAAATAAAATAGCAGTTTATGATTATGATCCCAATTCTGCAAACATATGCTGACACATTTGGAGGGCTGGGGCCTATGCATCACTTTAGCCCTCTCCAAGTTAAGAGCTGTGGAATATTTTCCAACAAAAAGTAGTAATAGAATATATACATAAAACAAGTTCCAAGGATTCTCTCCTTCTACCCCTGAAAATGGTGAGAGATCAAATATTTGGCGTTTCTTTGACTAATTCTTACTCTCAGCTTGCCTTTTTCCCTCCCTTTACTTTTCCATCTCCTGATTTTAAGCCACAAGTGTCATTCCACAAGCATTGGTCTTGAAGGAACTCTCCTGCTTTTTAGTTTTTGATTCCTTTCTATTCCCTCTTTCTTTTTATCTTGCCTGCACTTTTTCAAAGATCATCCTCTGTTGCAACTCTTAGCGGGGTTACTTGATCCTATGATAAAAAATAGTAGCTGAAGGCCTATGTTGCCATTACTGTTGTACCTGCACTGAACCAATAGAGAGAAATTAAGAAAAAAAGCACAGTACAGTATAGGCATAGCCAGTGGTTTTCTTGATGTTTCCCATTCTCTGTCTTTCCTTGGTATTCTCTGCTCTTATTTTCTTATAGTTAGTGCTAGATGTTTGACAGAGTATGTATTTTTCAATAATAAGTGTCCTGTTCATAATACTTATCCCAAGGCACCTTCCTAATAGGAAACCTGAACCACATACAAACTTAGTTATGGTTTATATCGTACATATATACTTGATTTTGAGTTTTAGCCTTACGATCTGTTGAGTTAAGCAGCTGATCTTACACCTCTGGAAAATCAATTCTAATTAATAATAATGTACCAAGATCTTTGGATGGAAGATGCTATATGAACACAAAGCTAAGAACAAAGAGCAAACAATTGAAATCACCCTGAAATAGGGAATTATAGGGATGTTAAAGGTTAACTAATAAGCATCTGCCCTTGACATACTTACTGACTAGCCAATTAACTAGAGGACCCTCCCCTCCCAAGGCAGTCTAGCAGGCCCCACCACCCAGGCCCAAGCTGGGAAGGAGCAACCTGTTGCTGTGGAGAGCCAGGACTGGAGCAGCCTCAACCACCCACAGCTGATGGTTAACTGCTAAAACAAACTGTTTAACCAGTTAAGTATTCTGGGAGGTTTTTATATCCCTAGATTATATAGATGTGGAAATGGAGACAGAAGTCGCTACAACTGGCTAGTCACACAATTTGTGGCACAGCAGAGAACAGAACTCCCAGATTCTAATCTTGTGCCTTAAACATAACATTATCCTACCTCCCTGTTTTAGTTTATATAACAAATCAAGTGTATTAGTGCACTTTATGCATTTAACCTCTACACAGGAGAAGTTTAAGATTAGTAATGAAATGCATTAAGCTTGTAAATAAAATTATGTGTATCACCCACTTGGCTCCTGGAATCTTCAAGAATGATCATGCTAGGATGAACAGTCTTGTTACAGGACTAGAACCAAGAGATCTGGGATCCATTTCAAGTTCTGTAACAAACTTCCTGATTTACTCCAAAATTTTCAGAAGCATCCATTTTTGGTTACCTATCTTCAGACACGCAGGGTTTAGATTTACAAGTGCTGAGCACCTGCAGCTCCTATTGACTATAACTGGACTTAAGAGGGTGCTCAGGTACTCTGAAAAGCACGGCATAGGTGACTCATAGGGATCCATAACTAAGACATGTTTGAAAATGTAAACTTGAATATCTCTAAAAGCGGCAATGAGTCCTGTGGCACCTTATAGACTAACTGAAGTATAGGAACATAAGCTTTCGTGGGCAAACATCCACTTCGTCAGATGCATCTTTGCCCACGTGGGTCTTTGCCCACGAAAGCTTATGTTTCTACACTTCAGTTAGTCTATAAGGTGCCACAGGACTCCTCGCTGCTTTTGCAGATTCAGACTAACACGGCTACCCCTCTGATACTTGAATATCTATCAATTTTCCCTAATCTAAATGAAGATGTAATCCTTCACAGTGACATTGGGAGACTCATTCATTAATATCTGTCAAGAATTTTGAGATTCTCTAAGACAATGTGCTCTGTAAAAATGAAGTACAGGCAGCCCCCGGGTTACGTACAAGATAGGGACTGTAGGTTTGTTCTTAAGTTGAATCTGTATGTAAGTCGGAACTGGCATCCAGATTCAGCCGCTGAATCTGGACACCAGTTCTGACTTACATACAGATTCAAACTTAAGAACCCCAGGGTCCCCAAGTCAGCTGCTGCTGAAACTGATCAGCAGCTGATTCCAGGAAGCCCGGGACAGAGCAACTCTGCCTCGGGCTTCCTGTAGTCAGCACTGGTCAGGTTCAGCCGCGACTGACTTGGGGACGCCTGAGGCACGGCACCTGGGGGGCGGC